AGCTAATTTGGAAAGAGTCTTAATCTTAAAATTTGCCATTGAACAAAATTACAGGTAACAGATCAGATAAAAATGTCATTTACATTACATTAAAATACTTATTAGATTAAAATACTTATTTTCATTTATTGAAATCTCACTTCTAAAAAAAATAATGTGAGAAAATTATGATGCATAAAATACATTTTAATTTAAATATCTTGAATCCATTTGTTTGTGCTACCTAGTCTGGAGAGCTTTGGCCCCAAGTCGGGCAAAGTCTAGCACCACCCTTGCCACTATCCAGTACTCCTTAGTTGTTGACCTTAAGCTTATAGAACATGTCGTAACTCTCTTATACATACATAGATGGCAGCATCAAAATTGTGCAACTAATCTAGTACTCCCTATTTCTCAAGCTAGATGACATCACTAGATCAACAAATTAAGCAGCATTCCTTGATTTCCTTAACAGAAACACAACTAAAGCTACAAAAAGCCAGTGAATTTAACTAGGATATAAAAAAAAGAGGCCTACTCCAGATTTCTCATTAAGAATAAGATAATTTTACCAGAGTGTAATTATTATTTAAACAATGTATTAATTTTTTTAATGCATATCTGCCAACATTTGAAAAATAAAACAGAGATTTTACTAACCGACCCAATTTTGGGTTTATGACTCCCAAGGTTAGCCTGACCATAAGGGGATTCTAACCCGTGATCAGTCTATCACTGAGAATATATATTTTATGTCAGCATTGGGGTCAGTGCAAGCTGGATGCAGAATTTGTATTGACCAGTTGTCGCTGCGATTCGTACCTGAGTTCACCTCATTAGAAGGCGAGCTCTCTATCCCCTGAGCCATCACGGCTCGACATTAACAGTTAACACTCGACATACTTCTGTACAGGCAATAGCACCATCTATTGAGGAATAAGATAAGTATTTTGCCAACAGTGGATATTTTATCACCCCAAATTTTTTTTTTCTAAGTTCTTCAACAAATACTGAGAAATTTGAGAATATACAGGTAAACAGGAGATAGTCGTAAACTACAAGAGTCTTCGTTAAAAAAATAAAAAAAAAGGAGACTTGGCAGGTATGTAAATGGAATATGAAAAAAAGGCAGTGTTTTTAAGAGATGATAGTTAATTTTTACAAAAAGGAAAATGTGGGTTCATCAAAGGAGAGGCAAGGTGGACCCTTCTTTTAAAAATGCCCCCTCTACTCACTGGATTTGCAGTTAACGCCTTATGATACCTCTCCGCTCCTGGAAACACAATGCATGCTTTCGCTGAGAGGGCTAAGGGGGGATATTTCGGTATCAAGATCTGCAGCACCAACTACAATCACCAAGGTGCCAAATAGAATTTAAACTTGCTTTTTTTTTTATTTTCTTTTAAAAAGACATGTAGATGTTTGCCTGGGAGTGGCTATGAGTTTACACCTTTTGAGTTGGTCCCCTTCAGTGACTTTTTTTTTTTTTTAATTTCTCACAGGAAGCTATGAAGACTTGGCAATTATTCTGTTACTGATCACTTTATATATTTTATTTCATCTCCTTCTGCAACAAATGGCGAATAACCAGTGTCCAGCACTTCTCATTAATCAATTAAAAATTTTAAAATTTTTATTTGATTCCATTAACTTGTACTTTAGATTTTCATTTGATTCTTAAGATTTTGATATACTTAAGCACTTAAATAGCATTTTAATACGTAAATCATTATTTTTTTATACTTTGCTTTTCAAAGAAAAGAGAGGTATTAAGCAAAATTGTAGAAGTTGTTTTTAATACATATAATAAAGTTTAACTTTAGTATTTTGTTTAATAAATTACATTAGCTCTATAAAATGTTAAAACTGAAGGTAGTTTGAATGAGATGTTGTAACTTATACACTTAAACTAAAACTTAGAGATGTTGTCATAATATAATTTGACACGATAACAAAATAATTTTAGACAAAATCTTAGCAACAATATCAAATTTTTCAAAATAAATTGAAATCGAGAAAAAAATTATAAATTTTACTTTCATAAATAAATTATAAAAACAAAAACATCAAATGTCAATCGTATCATTTCTAAGAAAGTACTATACACACCAAAGAAGATGATTATTATTATTATCGAAGAATAGAATAATAAAAATGTCTTACCTGAACTACTCAAGTACAAATCGTAACGAAATAAAACAATGGGCAAGATATTTACAAAGAATTAAACAGTTTCCACCACATTCTTTGCACAAAAAGCGGTTACGACACAGACCATAACAATGTCCAAACACTCCAATCAGCATAAAAGAAGGTGACAGTTGATCACAGACGAAATCGAGATAGAAAATTTCATTTCGGATTCCCGATATAAAATGAAAATTTTCTTTAGGCACTTATTTACCTATAAATTATTCAAATAAATTAACAAACATACCATGAGTGCAAAGAACTTTAATGACGTCAAATTGAAATTCAAGGGTAGGGAGCGCAGGGAGGAAAAGGAAACCACAAAAAAAAGAGAAAAAAATGGGGATGAGGTACATTGAAGACAAACAATTTGCAAATCATAAAAAGAATTTAAAAGCATTTTGGTAGTTTAACTTTATTTAGAAAAATAAACGGAAATTTATAATTATTTTGTTGATTTCCTAAATATGTTTTATAGTTTATTATTATTTTTAAAACTTTTGATTTCTTCTCGAGTTGAACTTGAAGCAAATCATTTTGACGAAAATGACGCAGAATCGAAATACATGGTTGGCTGATTTGTAATTTTTTTGTTAATTCTGCTTTAGTGACTATTTTAAGTACCATACATTCTGACCTATATGTTCTGTCTACGAATATGCTTCTGAAAAAATACGATCGCTTTTGCAGCAATGGAAACGTCTCCACACCGTGCTCACGATTCGCTTGCGCCAACCAACGTAGACATACAACATAACGTAAAAAAACGATGTCGTAACTTTGATCTCAGCACAATCGGCAATTATTCTCCCTCCCTTAATAATTGTGGCTTGATATTTTTATGACTTGAGAGTGTTCCAGGGAGAAATAATCCCCCTCAAAATCCCTCTCTTTACTTCTCGCTTTAGAACTTTTCACTGCTCTAATAAATTTAATATAACTCTTCTCTAATGTGCAGTGCTTTCCACTTATGGCAACATTTCGCATGCTCGCCATTAGCGTGTGGAAAGTGATAAAAGAAGGAAGTACGTTAGTTTCAATCTTGATATTCATATAGATTAGAAACTATTAAGTTAGGAAACTATATGGAACTGAAAACTTCATTGAACATAGTTCGAGGAAAAGCGTCATGAAAATTTAAAAAATTAGTTTTGACTATTAAATACGAAAAATTTTATGAAGGGGGAAATATCGTAGCAAAATAGGGGTAGCAACTGGGGTCAAGATATCTCCCCAGTTGACTTATCGAATGCTGCTATCACATATGCTAACAAGCCTATTTTAAGGCAGCGGGTTGTACTTTTTCTTGCTTTCCAGTGGCACCATCTATAGCCAAGAATTCGATAACTCCCACACACATACGTTTCAGCCCGTTTTACAGGAAGGGTACATTCAAAAACCACCCATCCGCAGATCGTAATTTTGATCAATCGTTTGATCGTAATTCACGATCAATCTCCGATCCAGTATCCCCAGAGGTATTGATGTGTTATGGGAACTTGGAGGACTTCGTCAAATGTAGAGTGCACCAGCCACCATTTTGCACACGGGGAATTTTCAACCGGCAGTGATCGAACTCACGAAATCTTGAACATGGTCCCAACGCCCTACCAATCAGGCTATACCACCCCCTTCTCTAATAGCAGATGGGTTTGTCGTTTCAGCAAACTAGTCATTGCAACCAAATGCACGTGTTTTATGCAGTGACTGTAAGAAAAGATAAAATGAATTGCAGTAGCAGTTTTGGACGTCATTTGTAACACTGAATGCTGATTTCAATAGTGTCTAGTACCCTATAGGGAGAGAAAGGGTTTTAATCAACATTTTAAGACTACAGGAAAATATGGTGAAAAGATGTTTATTTTCACTTTTCTGTATTGATATTAGAATTAAAAATATTTCCCATTTCTCCATATAAAATTGCATACTCAAACAACAGAAAAATGTTTTTTGTTTTAAAAAAAATACGTTCTTAAAGTGAAAGTCAGTAATTTTTAACTGCCAATAAAAATATAATTTTCTAATTTTAATAATAGAATTTTGACGTTAACTTGTTGTTGTTGATTTACGTCGCACTAGAGCTGCACAATGGGCTATTGGTGACGGTCTGGGAAACATCCCTGAGGATGATCCGAAGACATGCCATCACAATTTTGATCCTCTGCAGAGGGGATGGCACCCCCGCTTCGGTAGCTCAACGACCTGCACGCGAAGTCGAGCACTTTACGGTAGCACAGTTTCACGAGGACCAATACCGCACACCCTCGGTCACTACGCAGGCTGATGCTTGACTTCGGTGATCTGGAGAGAACCGTGTCTTAACGATCAGTCCACTGCGGGACGACGTTAACTTGGAAAACTGATGTCGTAGCAGATATGATATCCCATAATATACTATACTCATTACATTGAGCTTTTGCTCTAAATTTGTGAGTTAACTTTTTTGCTGTATAAAGGTTTCAACTCTTCGCCAAAGATTGGGGAATAGTGAGAAGTTTTTGTTTAACTTACCAAATTTCTGTAGTATTGCAATGATTTTTTAAGATGGTAGATTAAATTTCCATAACAAAAACCTTATTCAAAATTTTCTTAACAGTGCAAATTTTGGATGTGTCTAAAGGCTTGGTTTCTTTCAGATCAGATATCTTTGTCTACCAAGCGTTAAATCTTCACAAGGGCATAGCAGAAGGCAAGATGACTCAATTTCGATTTCTAAGAAACCATAGAGTCAGCAAATCATTAAGTCCAACTCAGAAATACCTCGTCGTCACAGAAACGTCGGCGTCAGCTGGAAATCAGCGTTAACCTCTGATTGGTCCATTTGTGAGCTTGACAGCATACGTCATCAGACGCTCATCTTGAATGAAAATTGCCGTCCAACTCAACTACAGTTAGATTACAGCGTGACGTTAACGATGGAAGCAATGGCGGATAACAACAACCAACAGCGCATTGAAATCAGCCAAGATTTTGATTTCGAGGAGAAATTAATCTCTGAAATAAAAAAGCGACCTAATTTGTATAATGTAAGATCTAAATCTTACAAAGATTTAGTGCTTAAGAACAATCTATGGTTAGAGATTGAAAAAGAGACAGGAATTGCAGGTTAGTACAAGTTTGCTATTATATACTTGCAAGCATATGTTATTTATCTTTATAACAGCAAATATGTATTTCTATTATAAGAAGATCCCTTTTTCTAAATATATATTACTTAGAAATTTATTTAATTATGCGTATGTAATTGTATCTACATGAGATTGGAACCGGTCTGATTATCCATTAAATAGTAAGACATTTAGGGTTTATTGGTAATTTACTTTAGTTTTTATATAAGAGATCTGAAGAACTTAAATTAATAGTAAAATTTTACTATGATAATTATAATCTAAATATTTGTATGAGCAAATCATAAAACATTTTAGGTATATTTATGTACCGTGATCTGTCGCGCCAACTACAATCGTCAAAGTGCCAAATAGATTTTAAAAGTGCAATTTTTATTTTTTTATTTTAGAAAAATATGTAGATGTTTGCCCGTGGTTTGCTAATTATACCTTTCGAGTTTGTCCTTTTCTGTGATATTTTTCTTAGTTTCTAGAGGGACATTACCTTGAAGCTACCAAAACTTGGCGATTATTCTGACACAGATCAGGAGATACAGAAATATCCACTTGTATTTATTTACTTCAGTTTTTATAAGAGGTCTAAAAAACTTAAGTTAATAGTAAGGATAAATAAAATTTTACTATGATAATTATAATTTAAATATTTATAAAATAAAATCCTAAAATATTTTGAACTATTTTATTGTAGTAAAAATTGTTTTATATTAATACTCAATACATATGCATGGAATGGAGATGCATCATTTTCGAATGCTAAAAAGCTGTCGAAAAAGAAGAAGCAAAATTAATTTCGGACATCTTTTTTCAACATTAAAAAAGTCCATATTCAATAATTGCATTAAGATTTAACTTTGCTGCTCTTATTTGCATTCTTAAAAATTAATTGCATGAGTTTAAAGCTTAGTTAAACTTTGTTACCCATCATATTTTCTTAACTTTTATACTTTTTTTACCTACTATATTTTTGTAATCTATTATATTTTATTGTCTTTAGTTGATACGTTAAAGAAAAGGTGGAAAACAATAAGAGATTATTACGTCAGAAATAAAAAGAAACTTCCTACTGGTTCTGCAGCAAAACGAAAATGCATTGATATGCAAAGAATGGACTCTTTAAGGTTTTTAGAAGGAACATACATATTGAAAAATGAGTAAGAATTTTTAATGAAAATGTTAGTTACACAAAATAACTTTTATGGGATAAATAATCTCAGTGATTAGTACTATATATTTTCGATTTTTTCTTTTTGCAAGTTAGTTTTTAACGAAGAAAAATATAGGTGACAATCAGAATAAACCTGAAAATTTAAAATTTCTGAAGTAGCCAATGATCGATACACTCTAAAAGCTTAGCAACCACTTTTTTCTAAAACCTAATAGATCTGTGACTGATATCGATACGCTCTTTTAATTTTAGAGCCACTACATGCAAACTTTTTCGGCTTATATTAAATTCAATTTAAAAGAAATCATATAAAAAATAATCAACTGCTATAAAATGGTACTTTTCCATCATACCGGCGCAAATCGCCAAGCAGAGTTTTTAGTTACAGCACACGGTGAACCCATGTGCCTTTACGGATACTTCTTTTAGAGCGACAAGATAAAAGGCTGCAACGCTATTCAATTTCATCTCCAATGTACAATTTCATTTTATGATTCTTATCACAAGTTGTTATTTCAGCCAAAACTTCTTTCTCTTGAAAGACTCTGACCTCAAAGTTTCGGACAAATCCCAAATTTTTAATCGCTTTTTGCGTTAATTTTTCATATTAAGACAAAGGCGTGACTGATAAAAAAAATTGGCGCGACTTGCTTTGAAAATGTGGAGACAAAAGTTACCAGCGACGATATTCAGTTTGGCATTGGTTGCATCATTATTGGCGCCTTTATCACCTGCGCCAGTATAACGGAAAAGTAACCAAAAAAATGTTAGTTGAACAAAATTTTGAGCTGGGTTAGTTGACATTTTAACGAAAATTGTGTAGATTAGCCTTGGAATGATAGTTTCAAAGAAATTACATTCACTTCCATCAAGCACCTGTTTTACAATTTTATGTTTTATTAAAATATTCCTTAATTTCAGAACGCTCTCTAATGTCCGGGCATCAACGTCATCAGAAAATCAGCATGATATAGGACTGATTGCCGAAGGCGATAATGAGAGTATCTGCTATGAAGATGATGATACTCCACAAGACACAGACACAGATCAGAGTTTGGAGCTTATAGAAGAGGGAAATTATGTTTCTTTTGAAGAAACGAGCAAACCCGGTAACTCCTTTTACAACCAATCTAGTACTAGGCAAAAGGTTAGCAAAAAAGAACGTTACTGGCAGGAACTGCAAGCTTCAAGGAAAGAAAGAACAGAAATTTTAAAGTCCTTGTTAAAAGAGAAAGAAGATGAAATAGATGTTTTTTTTAAGTCTATTGCCATGACTGTAAAGTCTTTTCCAGAAAGACTGCAAGTTGACGCAAAAAGAAAAATTGCTAATATGATATTCGATCTTGAAGAAGAAAACATTAATAATTGATACTTTGTTACAATTATTATGCATAATATATATGGATATAGATATATATATGGAGAAAGAGATGTATATTAATAAAACCTTCATAATTGATAAAAAAAAATATGAATACTGTATTTTATGTAAACCAAAACTTAAATCTTTTGCTGGCAGTTCTGTTTTCTAAAATTCAATGATATTAAAACAATCCTATCTAGTTGATACAATTTGATTTTTAACCGAATATTAAGCATAAAAGATTTTTTTTACAATGTGATTAATAAATTCCTCTTTTAGGGTGTGGTTAAGTTTTGTTTTCAGTTTGATTAGGGTGTAATAATGAAGGATTTTATTCAGAAATAATAATAAAACATAAAAGTTCCTTTCGTTATTTCATTAAAAAAAATCAATTCAATCAAAAATGGACTGAACGTTTTGTTAAACTTTTAAATTATAATTTCCCATTAAATGTATATAAAATCGCATAAAGGAAAAATCTTGTCTCAATTATACCCATTTAGTTTTCTACTGATATAAATACAGTTCATATGTAATATAGTTTTTTCTAAGAAGATTTGTAATATGTTATAATTCTTGTAAATTGAATTTAAATTTAATTACAAATATAATTATGTGTTGTTCATACTAATCAAGAAGATTGTATAAAAATAATTCAGAAATTTATAGTATAATAAGGTGAAAATTGAGTAAAATTAATTATGAATTATATAATACAATGGACACTTCTTTAAAAATAAGCAATTTGTAAATTAAGATTTATGAAGAAAAATATTGAAAATAGAGCAAATATCAGGTGGGTATATTTTTTAGCATAGAATAGTAGGAATTTATTGCAGACATTAAATTGATTATTTACAGTATTTATTATTATACAGAAGCGTTCAATTATTTTTTAAATGAAAATTGCAAGATTCCTATTAAGCCCTCTTGACTTTCCCTGCTTGCCATTTTAAGGAACCATCTTTACTACTGAAATATTTTGCAAAATTTTCTCTTATGAGTTTAGCTTTAAAAGAAGCATGATTGTTGTTACAAGCGGCAGGTTTCAATAAGTTCTTTTTGGGCAGCTGCAAACTTTTTTTCTTCCCCTGTTCCTTCGGCCAAGCTACATTTCTACGACGAAGCATATTGTGCAGGATGCAACAGGCTAAAATTAACTTATTTACCATAGTAATTTTGCATGCAATTGGCTTAAAAAAAACTCTAAAATATTGGCATAAAATACCAAAAGCATTTTCTGATGTTCTTCTTGCCCTGCAATGCCGATAATTATAAGCCGATTTCTCCTCATCGCGCAGGGCTTGAGATTCAGGGTAGGGCTTCATCATATTGCAGGTTAAAGCAAATGCCGCATCACCTACGAACACATGCGGACTTAGAATTTTGGTATGTGGGAGACATTTCGGTTCAGGAAGTTTAATTACTCCTAACTCTATATTCTTCTTTAAATTAGAGTTTTGAAAGATAGTACTATCGCCTTCTTTTCCGTATGAACCCACATCTACTGAAAGGAAACAATAACGAGCATCTACTAATGCCAGCAAAACAGTAGAAAAATAATCTTTGTAACAGAAATACGCACTGCCACTTTTTTTCGGGCACACAATTTTAATATGTTTTCCATCAATAGCACCACAACAATTGGGATAATTCCACAATCTAAAAAATTCTTTTTCAATGTTCTTAAACATTTCTTCTGTAGGTTGTGGCATATATAAGGGCATGGCGTTCTTTATTATACTGTCTAAAACTTCTTCAATAATATGGCTAATCCAGGTATGACAGATACGATAAGTGAAAGCTAAAGATCGAAAGGATTCTCCTGTTGCAAGGTACCTGAAATTGAATGATATATTTTAAGCATAATAAAAAATCATTAGTTTAAAGATCTATTTTTAGAGTGAAGAATTAAAAAAATTGTAGTGAGATATCGAATTTAAGTAATTTTCTACTTTTTTTTCCTAGAAAGCTAGAAAATACAAAAATAACAAAGCATGGCATCTCCCTCATGCAATGCAATATATCTCTCTCCATCCAGGCATTCTAAAAAAATTATGAGAGTTTTCAAATTTCAATTAGAGATCTGTGCCGGAGGCTAATACAAGTTATATTTGTTTCCTAGTCGTTAATAAAGTTTGCTCTATTACCTCAGTAATAAAAATTTTTACTTATTTTTAGCATAAAAAATCTACCAAGTACAAAATTAAAAAATATATAAATATTTTAAAAACAAGAATTTGAAAAAGGACAAATTGTACATGATTATATCATTTGAAATATGGCAGAGATTTCCGTATCGTGATCTGTAGCAGAATATCACCAAGTCTTGGCAACTTCCGGGTAGTGGCCCGCAAGAAACTAAGAATAAAAATCACAAAAAGCGCTCAACATGTGAGGTATAACTAGAAACCAAAACTGGGCAAACATCTACATGCTTTTGTTTTTAAATTTTCAAGTTTAAAATCTATTTGGCATCTTGGTGATTGCAATTGGCGGGACAGATAAAGATATGGAAATATCCCCAAAATATGTATTTTTACGATTTTTTGCGAAATTTAACTAAAAAAATATTTTGCTTCATAAATTATTAAAGCGTTATTAAAACAGAAAAATTCATAAATGTTATAAAATATTTTATAAGTATCGAGCTAATAGATATTATGCATATTTAATGCTATGAAACAATAACAAATAATAATAAATCAATTCTTACTCAAGTGTTAGGCATAGTTTCTCTTCCTTTGAAATCGGCTGTCTTCTTCGATTATAGGCACGACTTGTTATATCGCACTCAACAATGCCGTACAATTCTTTGAAAAGCTCTGGCGAAAGACGGAAGTACTGACGGAATTTTTCGTCATTGAAAAATAAATGTCTCCTAATCAGTATAGCATAAGTACCTTCAGTAGCTCTATTTGTGAAGATTTCATCAACTTTTTCATTTTTAAGGAAGACATTAAACATAGCTTCTTCCTCCTCTTCTTCCTCCTCTTCTTCATCATTCAGAAAAGCTATAATATGTTCTTTCTTGGACAAGGTCATTTTTTTTGGTCAACAATAACACAAAGTTATGGGATCGAGCTACAAAATCAAAAAAATATTTGTTTACGTTATTAACGCATGCGCAATGAGAGATAATGTCTGCTTTGGAACGACTGCTCACGCTGAGCTAACAAACCAGTATTTCTTGGCGTCATGGTAACGCCAACTTAACGCTGACGCCCAGATAAGGCGCTAGTTCTAAGAAACCAGGTCTTGAGCTAACAAACCAGTATTTCGTTGGCGTCAGAGTGACGTTGACGTCCCGCTGACGCCCAGATAAGGCGTTTGTCCTAAGAAACCAGACCTTAAGTGACCTTCCATTCAAGTGTCCTTGATTTAGTCTGAAATTTTCGAATAATAAATTGGTTGCACAAATGTACTCTTCTTGTCTTGAGGGTAATGAAGCAAAAATTAAAAATATTCAATTTTGGTATTTAAGTTACTTTCAATGCAAAATATAAGTAAAGAGTTCAAAATGATCAGCCTGTTGCTTAATACAGATGCATGCATAGTTGTAATTCTGGAAGTTTTCAATTTCAAATTAAAGTGCTTTTTAAATCCAAAACAAGTTTGACCATCATTAGATAAATTATAATAAATGCACCACACTCATACAATGTGTTTCAGCTCTGGGAAAAAATGAAAAATAATTCAATCAATAAAAGCTTTCTATGAAGATTCTAAATGGGTAAAATAAGTCTCTGGCAAAATTATTAGACGCACTAAGAGATTCTATGTAAAATCTTAATTATCAGGTGATACTATAGTTTTATTGTTTATACATCACCGAAACAGGTTTCACTAGTTCGTGTATCAATTGGTTGAATTAAACAATATATAATATAAATTCAACAATTGACTAAATTAAACGATATATTATATAAATAATTATTATATCAGGTATTATATTAGTACATTATAATAATTAGACCCACTGTAGAGTTTTAATACTTGCATGTTTTGCACGAGCTTATAGGCAATACTTTGTACTTAAACATACATGTAATGGGTTTGTATTCAGGAAATTTTTTACTACACTTCCTACTTGTATTTATTTTTAACGTATTGCATTACGATGTTAACCAATTGATACACGAACGTAAACAAATGCATACCGTTTACAGCCTCTTAAAAATAATAAAGCTGTATAGTATTACCGGATAATTAAGATTTTACATGGAATCTTATAGTGCGTCTATTAATTTGACCAGGGACAGCGTATATATTTAAATGTGTTGTATTTTGAAAGAAAGAAAAAAAAAAGAGCGATTTTTTTAATGACCCACTTAAATTTCTGTTCTTGCAATTCTGTAAAATTGTTTCTTACAAAGACTAATTGAAAGATATATCAGGGCATGTAGCCGAATCTTTCAACAAAAAATAAGCACCTTTTAAGCACTATATACATTAACAAAATGCAAAATAATTTTCAAAGACTTTACATGATCACGATAAAAGAAGTTTTTGACAAAGAACTATTTTCTTGATTATATTAGCCATTAGAAAATGATCAAGAGGTGTTTCGGTTCGATATCAGAGGGGGGGGGGATGAAGCTTGAAATTGAGTCTGCTTGCGAAATGCAGCAGAGTAAAAGAATCTTACTGAACCCAGCTCAGCAAACGCACATGTGGACTCGCGAAGAATTTCATCAAACATGTAAAATGATTGGCGCTTTCATATGGTATTCACCGACTGGTAGCCGAAATAGATTGTGGTTGAATGAATTCTGAAAGCGTTGAACAGAACAATGTAAAAAGCACACTTTTGCTTAATATGAGACAGAAATCGACATGGTACAGAAAAAAAATTCCATTTGGAAAAGGGAAAATTAAGCACTTTTTAAAAACACCCAATGGCAGGGTATCTGCTACATTTAAGATTTTCAAATTCATGACTAATTCCAAGAATTTTTCATGACTTACCAAGTAAGTTACTATTTTCTCCGACAAAAACAACAAATTTAAAAAAGCATTGTTTGAAATGATAGGTATAACAAAAACTGTTATACTATGCATCTTCATACTTATAGATTTTAAATTTAAAAAAAGAGTAATGAAAGAGTTGAAGCAATAAACTAGCTGAAAAAAAAAACAAAAGCAAATAATATTTTTTTTTCTGTAGAATTATATTCTACAGATACTTTTCTTGAAACTTGATACTTTTCTTTCCTTCTCAGAAAGGAAATAAATACTCCTGATTTTCCTGTTCTCATTTCGGAATAAATAAAAAAAAATTCTGAAATCACAGAAATTAGAAAGATAATTCACTTTAGTAATGTTTTTTCTTTCATTTCTTGAAAGAACACCATAATTTTTAAAGAACATGATAAAAATATTTTATATTTGAATCAAATATGACTGTGAGTGGGGATTTCGTTAGATACTCGAAACACCATGAAATTGGAGGGGGTAAAATTCATTTCAAAAATTAGACTTTTTGACGGCCTAAATCCACGATTTTTTTAAAAAAAAAAATAGTTAAAAGCATGACATTTCATGAAAATTTTTGTGCAATACTGAAAGCCGCGTCTAACTTATGCACCCAAATGTTCATGAAAAAGATAAGAGCGACTGAGGATAAGGAGACAAGATATAAAATACCTATTTATATAAAAGCGATAAGAGCCCATTCAGACATTTTTGTTCAGCCTGAGATTAAGACCATGAGTATGACTCATGATTTTCATGTTAAACTACGAGCCTGACTAGTGATATTAAAGTTGGGCCTAAAATTTTCAACAAGAGTCAAACTCGTGAAAATAGTGCAAGTGGGAAATAGAACAATACAAGATCTTTCATACTATTTACCAACTAAATTTAATTCAAAATGAACATTTAATTTAAAGAAATAAATGCTGGATCAGGGTTGCCACTCAAATCTGGAAAAAAAATTCCCTGTGTTTTCCCTGNTTAGCATACATTTATAAGAGTGGGGAAAAGTATATGCATTTTTTAATAGTTTTTTGAATATGGCTCTTTGAAGACGAAAAAGCAGACGAAAAGCATAGACTTACAAAATGACTGATAACTAAATAACTAATCAAAATTTTTGAAAAAGAAAAAAAATACTTCTTCATTATGTCAAAACACAATTATGGGCCGAGTTTCGTGCCCGGGCGAGGCTTCTGGGGCGATATATTGTGATTACAGACACACACACACAGCTGCGTTTATTATTATGTATAGATGTATAGACTATGCGCTTTACTAACATTTTATTTCATTTTATTTTATATTTTAAGTTTTACTTCTTATTATATTCTTTACTTTGATTTATGCTTTATTTTACTTTGCTTTCAACTTTACGCCACTTTTTACCTTACACTTTAAATAAAGTGTACTTTACTTTATACTTTGCACTATACTTAATATGTTACGACTTACTTTACACTTTACTTGACTTTACGTTTGACTTTGCACAATTTTCACTTTGTATGTTATATTTTACACTCTGCTTTATATTTTGCGCTTTACTTTATTCCTTACGTTTTACGTTATTCTTTGCAATATACTTTACGCTTTACAATACTCTGCATTTTACTTAAGACTTTGTTGTTTAGTTTTACTTTACTTTAAGTTCTTCGCATTACTTTATCTCATACACGCATTACTTCCGATATGCTTTATTTTACTTTTTTCTTCATTTGCCCTTTAATTCGCCTTAATTTATTATTTACTTTATAAGCTTTTTGATTTATCGTTCATGCTTTACTTTATACTTTACGCTTTATTTTACTTTACTTCTCAAAAGTAATGTTCCAGTAACTAATAAAATAACTGATAACGCACAACAATATGCACACAAGAAATAGTGGACAGATGATTTAAAGGTGAAAATTATGTTGCAAATGAGAGAGTGATGACGTTGGAATTCTGGATACCCTGTATACTTCAACTCACCGAAGTTCTTCGCCAACGCCGGCATCAAGTTCGAATCATTGAATCAGCAATCCAGTACATAAAAGAGATCTGTGGTGCAAACCTACGTGAACAAAAAGGGTTAAAAACGCTACTGTTGCGAGTGAAAGGAAATCATCAAATGAACGGGGATGTACAACGATTTTATTATGCGAATTGGAATATTACAAAGTAATGTTTCTAAAGCTGAACGATTTTGTGGAAGATATATCCCAAGATCAATTTCGTTCAATTACTGAAGAGAAGTATACAGCATTGTTCTAATTATATTTTTAATAATACGCATATAAACGACAAATTTTTATCAATTGAAAAAGAAAACGGTTTCTTTTTTGGACGAAATGTGCATTACATTGACGAAAATGAAACATTATTTTCTACAAGCAGTAGTGATTTGATCAAAAATTATTTAACATGTTATATTTGTTCGCGTCGTTAAAATTATTATGTTACTAAACATATTGTTAAACTGCGTTACATGTTATTAAACAAGAGTTTTTTAAAGGTGATATTTTCTTAATGTAAACGCATATATATTGTAAATGAAGAATGGCAACAGCGGTTATTGTGATAGAAAAGTTGTAGAACGTCAATATGACGTATACGTGAATGTAGAAAGTTGCGAGTGCACTTATATTATCAATAAATATTTGTTTTTGTTTTCTATAAGGAATTTATTACTGTTAAACTAACTACATAAGAAGCCCACATTACCCACAAAAACATCAATAAAAGTATTATTTAAATATTTTATTGAAAAATTCGTCACCCACAATCGTATTTTAAATATAATATTTACGGTATTTTATATTCTCTATTTTTTTCTCTACTAAATCCGCAGTTTTCGAAAGGTAGTTAAATATTATAGAGTGACGTGCTTTTCGATTTTAGAAAAAAAAAATTTTTTTTGTGAAATTAACGTAAAAATGTTTTTTTTAAAACTTCATTCAAATTGGATTTCATCAGTTTAAATTATGTTGAAATTAAATTTAAAAAAGAATTAAAACAAAATCTGAAACCTGACAAATATAGACTTGTACTCTACAATACGAATCTAAGTGTATCTAAATTATCTAAAAATAAACAAACATTTTTTCTCTAAATTTAATGAAACAACTTCTTTATTTTCTATTTTGTTTTGCAAAAATGAATTATTTTTACAAGTAAATTACTGGCAGTCTTTCCCTAACTACAGAATTTTATTATACAAAAATGAATTATTTTTCATGCATCATGAATTATTTTTAAACATCATTAATGATGTTTTTTTTCGCAATAGCGTCTTGCAATATAATAACTATTTTTCAGGATTAAAATTTTTTATACCTTGTAAGCCTACATTTAAATTAAATATTAATTACCGCATCATTTAAATAGAAAATGAAAATAAACAGCTAATTTTTCGTCTCATTTTTCGAAAAATGAAATAAATTATCACTAAGTTAAAAAAAAAAATGAAACCTTATATTTAAGCAGAAACATTTTAATTAACGTGCATTAAGACTCCCTTACATGATTTTCTTCTTTTTGTTTTGATTATCCTTTTGTTTTGATTATTTGTTTGATTTCTTTTTGTTTTCATTATCAACACTGATAAATGTCAACATTTATCAGTGTTGAAATTTATTAGGAGGTGGGTGTAAAAAATACTCTTTTTCAATACCTTTTGCAGCAAATTATGATAGTGCAGACGATAATGATCATGGCAAAAATTGCAGATTCAATGTAAGTGGCAATTCTCCATCCACTAATTACATCCACTGTAAAGAAAAAGAAAAATCTATCAAAAGCGGTTCTTGTTTTTAGGCAAAATTATCATTTTAAATTGAAGATTTTTTTCATTGGCACTTTTATTGAAATAAATATTTATTAAAAATTGAATGTCGGGTTTGGAATTTAAATTTTAAAAAATGATTGTTTTTTTATTTTATCGCGGTGGGCGTTCTTTCCCCTAAACCACCATGGCGCACTAGTGTTAATTATTTTATATTTTATTTTATATCCATCGTTGAACAGCCGACCCAATTTTAAGGTTTAGGACTACTAATGTTCAACTCTGTAGCCTTGTAATTTTGAACCCAATCCAGAAGACAAGGGAACTCCTGGACCGAATGATAGGAGAAATTTGCATCGACTTTAGATGGAACTAACCCATATTTGAGTTACATGGAGAGGAAAACCATGAAAACCATCCGTGACGGCTAGGGGACTTTAACCCATGATCCACCACCACTGGGGACTTTTTACGTCAGCACTGTGGTTGGTGTAAGCCGGATGCGGAATTCGTATCCACCAGTCATTGCTGAGATAGGAGAAATTTGCATCAACTTTTGATGGAACTAACCCTTATTTGAGTTACATGGAGAGGAAAACCATGAAAATCACCCGTGACGGCTAGGGGACTTTAACCCATGATCCCCCACCACTGGGGACTTTTTACGTCAGCACTGTGGCCGGATGCGGAATTCGTATCCACCAACCATTGCTGAGATTCGAACCCGGTTCACCTAATTGGAAGGCGAATGCTCTGTCCCCTGACCCATCACTGCTCATTTGTGCTAATTATTAAATTTCACCATTTATATTCAACTTTCAAGGTATATTATTTTTTAATGATTTTAAATTGTTAGAGGGGACGTAAATCGTCTTGATATTGGCCACGTAATGGCTATTTAATATCTGTAATGTTTTTAATTAATTGGAAGTATTGCACAGCGAATGGCAATAGCGACATACATTTGAAAAACAAACTTAATATGTTGAAGATATTTTAACACACTGATACAATGTTTCAACATAAGACTATATAAAGCTATACAATTGTTTAAAAATAATGTTGAATTACGAATACATTCCAATTAGCACTATAAACATTCAAACCAAATTGTTCTTATACTCTGTTGCAAGAACCCCATTGCAGTATAGGATTTAAGTAATCATCCGCGGTTGCATATAGTACCGTTTTTATTTCATTATCAAATTATGCAAATATGCTTTCGAAACAGTAAAAAACCTTTTAAAATCTAAACATATGAGACAGAAATTTAATCCGTGCTATCTTTTACGATATATATCATAGAATTATTTAAAAAAGGCTATAGTTCCGTAGTCTTACTGGAATCATAGACTTGGCGACATACTTTGGGTAAATAAGATGAACATTCGTTCTTGAAAAAGAAACAACTACATAACGTTGCAAGATCATTGGGTTTGATTGGATCACTAAAGATGACCCGTCTGATGCTGATATATTCTTAACAAATCAACTCCGAGATAAAGAATTTGTACTTCTGTTTCAATGTAGAAGCAAATATTCGTCAAGAAATACATTTAGTATTCTTTCATTAGTTTCTTTAAATTCGAACACATATTTTGTTACGAATGTTATACGTTCGAACACATGTTAATTGATTATTCTTGTTAATAATTGTTATTATTATTAATTGAAAACATTAAAAAAGGAGGTTGTGCAACGTCCATCCAAGATCTGGCGAAATTGAGGTGGGAGTTTGGCATCCATTAGGCGTAAACTTAGATGCAAACAGGCTCTCTGTATAAAGTTGAGATAATTTTTTTTCTTAACTTACTACAGAGTATAGAGGCAACACCTCCAAGAAAAGAGTAGGCCTCTGCACGGGTTACCATAAATATCCCTTAGTAGTCCAAACGTAATGACATATTTCGTATTTTCAACCACTGCGCAGCTTAGTACCCTGAACGTAATAACATCTTATTTTTCATCTACTGCGCAGTTAACTTTGTCACATCTGTAAGAAACAACTTTTAAAAGAAAAACAAATCAATACTTTATTAAAATTTACACACACCGTTATTCTAAAAACTCAAAATCTATATCGTACACAAGAACTGCTGTTGCCAAAACATGGAATACTAAATACTGCTGTTGCCAAAACAAGGAATACTAAATATGTAATAAGAATATAATTAATGTTCACGTTCACACTTTTACACATCGGACTACTAAATTAATCCGTGCTGAGGCCTTTCTACTTCTAGGAGGTGTTGATAGAGGTGCCAGTAAATTCTTACATCCAAGTTGACTGAATCAAAAAAGACATAATAGTTATAAAATATAACACAGTGTACAAATCACCATCTTTGAAAATTATTATTAATAAATAAAGTAAAAATATTATGAAGAGGATTCTAAAATAGATAGAAGGTAAAATAGTAATTAACTTACATTCGCATTTATTAGATGCATATATGTACCCCCCTCTACAAACGCACACCTTCGAGAATCCATTGAAATGGCAACCTTCTGCATCATATCCACAATCACATCCTGTCAGAAATAAATAACAGGATTGATAATATTTAATGAGGGATAGTAAAAAATAGAAATTTTGAATAACAATTCACGGTTTGCTATTCTCTGATTGACTACGAAATGCAATTAAATTTTATTGCAATAAATAAACTGCGAAATACAATACGAAAATGCGTTCATTTTTAATAAAGCCTCCGAAAAATTCAGATTATACTTCATAAAATTCACTTAATACGAAATCTTGATTGGGATTGCTGTATACAATCAAGACTCCTCGAATATGATGTTGACAAAACTAAACTCAGTGGCGCGACAGTCCATAGAGGGCCAAGGCCTACTGTCATCTCAGTTTTCTTACTCCTTCTCAGTTTTCTTGAACTTGAGCTCTGGAGTGCAGGAGCCGGTTAAGTGGTCAGCCGAACGCGAAACCCCCAGTGTTTAGTTCCCAAGCATGCTTGGTACTCATTTATCGACCCACTGAAAGGATGATAGGCTGAGTCAACCTTTGCCCGGCCCGAGGACCGAGCCCAGGATCTGTGGCACAGGAGCGCGAGGCGCTACCACTCAGGCACCGGGCGTCAATATGATGTTGAACAACCCAAAAAATTGCGTGAAGGGCCACTTTATTCAGAGTTAACATCAAATTGAGTGTTCATAAAATATTTAAAGGGTGTAATTTAAATATGCGGGGAAGGTTTTCGACACTGTCTACTGTCATCTATCAAAAGGTACCTCAAGATAAAATCTAACTGAACTGCATAGAAATCGATGAATGGATACCACCAGTTAATTCACTGCTGTTTTTGCCAAAGGCCGGGAGAGCAGTATTAAGATACTGGTCTTTGAGTGCTATTAATGTGAGAGCTGTAATAGAATCATGGTTGTAGGCGTGATTGCTCCTGTGCTGCAATTATCAGTCGAGTGTGTACAGGTCCCCCTTGTGTGTGAACGAGACCGAGTAACAACAGCGGGAGGGGAACAATGTCGAAGTCACAAATAGCAAGTCAACTGTTCACTGTGGACCGTCCATAGGTGTGTTCAAATTGAAGCGGGAGTTTCAGTCGAGGTAGGCGTGCTCAAATCATGTCTAATTTATAAAAAAATGAGGGTGTAGACGGACTATCGACGATGTTAACCGTCATTTATTAAAAAGCTCGTCAAGTTAGCTTGTCATATATACTAGTAAATTGGAATTTAATAGTTGTAGGGGTAACTCACTGCAAATCTAAATTCTAAAAATTGATTAATCTCACACTAACATCTCACGAGAACTTCCCAAAACACCGATGTTGGTGCGCTTTGACTATAAGAAATTCCAGAAACGCGTGTAGCGTATCTACCACTACAAAATTACAATTCCAATTCACTAGTATATAAGACATGTTAACTCGATTCTATGATGAGGTACCTTTTCATAGATGAAGGTTGACATTGTGTAAACATCTAGCTCCACATTGGTGACCTACGGACGTGATATAATCACGAATACTTCGATGGATGGTCCGCATTGAACAATTGACTTGCTATTTGTGACTGCATCATCGTCCTCCTCGCATTGTTGCTTCTCAGTCTCATTTACACATAAAAGGTTTCTGCACACACTCGACTGCTAATAGCAACACAGGAGAGATCACACACACGCAACATGATCTTAATACAGCTTTTATGGCTAAAGCTCAAAACCCGGTAACCTTAATCCAGCTCTCCCCGCTTCTCTCACCAAAAAAAANAAAAAAAAAAAAAAAAAAAAAAAAAAAAAAAAAAAAAAAAAAAAAAAAAAAAAAAAAAAAAACAATCAACTAATGGCATCCGTTTATCGAATTCTATCACAGATATAATTCCGGTGGGGGAGTACTGTAGCGTATCTACCACTACGAAATTACAATTTACTAGTATATAAGACATGTTAACTCGATTCTATGATGGGGTACCTTTTCATAGATGAAGGTTGGCATTGTCTAAACATCGCGCTCCAAATAGAATATTTCATGTAGTTATTTTACATTCTGGAATGAGCTGGCGTGGCAAGAATTTTTCGATTTTCAACGCTGTTATTCGTCTACAGAAAATAAAATGCTCCGCTACATCTGAATGTCTGTTTTTAGTTGCGTAATACAGATGATTTTAAAATGTCTGAGGTTTTAAAATAAAATTATGCGTATCAACCGATTTCTTATTATCCGAATCTCTCGTATTAACCGAAATCTCGGGTAATAACCGATTTTATTATGTATAATTTCTACCCGATTCCGTTCTGTTAGTTTTAGCTCGAATTTGTATTAAGATTCTCTCTTGGATGCGCGTGTGTTATTTTAAGAATTAGTTTATATATTAATTTTTTGAATTGATGATTTTTGCTTCATATTGGGCTGTAAAAATAACTTTTATAACTGACTTATATATATATATCTTATTGTAATTGCAAATTTTAGTTTTATTGAAAAACAAAAATATGCAGTGTAAAAGAATATTGTAGTGAAACACTAGATGCAAGAGTTATGTACTGTTTCTAACTACATTACTTTGGTGTAAAGTAGTTGCTACCTTATTTGGTGTTAACACACTGAAATATTTTTACTGTATATCTTTGGTTCTTGCTAAATTGGAACTTCTAGTCCAAGAGTTATCTATGATGGTGTTCCGCTGCACTACTTAGGTGTAAAGTAGTTGCCTGAATTTTTGAAGTTGAGATACGTTAAAATTTTTTGCAGTGTTGCAATTTTGTATTATTTTTAAAAAAAAATAATATTGATGTTTCATTAAAATATTTAGGCTAAAAAAAAATTTTAAAAGCCAGATGCGTCGATATAAAGTGATTATACATATAGAATCTCACCAAAACTTTTCTTTGAACAATCAAATAAAAAAAACCATAAGGCGGGATTTTTTTCATCTTAAATTAATTACGATACACATAAGATCAGGTAACCATAATAGAGTCATACTTACTTTCACATTGATCGTAAGGATTTTGAGCATACTTTGAGTAACACAAACACTTCTTTTTATTATTTTCGAATTCACAGGAGATAGCTAGGATTCCACAATAACAGTCTGTTAAAAAAAAAAAAGAAAAAAAATTATTATTTTTTTTACCATTCTTTAAACATATTTGCTTCGACACATTACGACGAGCTCAAAATTTTCACACTGATGTACAGGATGGCCTGAACCATACCACTTATCACGTTTAAATTTTCATCAGCCAAAATTCACTGGTAATTTGAAATATTTAAAATATCTAAGTACTTAATATACATTTGAAATATTTGAACAAGGAAAAATAGTTATTCAGCTACTTGTTTTACTTTTTGGCGATAATAATTGTGTAGAAAGTACTGAAAAGCAATTATTTTCGCAAGATTTGCAAATGATACGATTTAGGAAACCGGTTGCCTAGTTCGTACAATCTTCTCCCTAAATCATACTAGTCAAAAAAATAAATAAATAATGAGTTATTGTGATAAAGTGAATACGTAGACCATATGTAACCCAAAACAATTACATTTTAGAGCTTACATTGGATTGTTCGGAAAGTAATTTTATCCATTCGGAAAATGGGTGTTGCCCGCATCCATTAATGCTTTTATTGTTTTTTCCTCAGCTTAAATTGACGTGGACCATCTTCGTTTATCCTAATTGAAATTTTACAGGACTGTAAAATTTGCAAATCAGATTTGATAGTGTGTACTGGCAGTGCTGGTCAAATCTGTCGTGGCTTAAAGTCCTCATGTTGGTTGCAGTGTGGAAGTTTGGAGAGAAAGGTACCAGCTCAGGTATTGTCCACGCTATCTGATCAGGGTCAAAATTACGTGGAAACCTTACCATAGCCTTTAAAAGATCGAGCCCTGAAAATGGGGCTTGGTCATGCTTGGGTGATGATGCTCCCTGTAGTATGGTATTTACCCCATCAATTTAAAATTCTCGAACTATTAATCGAATATTATTCTTTTTATTCCATTATTTTCTGTGTTTATTTTTCTATTTAGTATGGTAATTTCAACTTAAAAAAAAAGTTTTATAAGTTTCACTCTGAAGAACAAAGCAAATAGTTGAGTTGAACACCCAAACTCACACTTTTGATTTTTAATATCAAGAGATTTTGTGAACGGAAGTTAAAATTTAGAAGCAGAAAAAATTAACATAAAACAGTGTTCTTATTATAAAAGTTTCACTAATGATTTACTTGCTTTTATCGTCGCTTCCCTAATTTTTTTAGGTCCTAATCAAATTAAAGGTCTATAAAGATCTAAAGAATGTTAAAGCATTTGTTAAATTGCGCATATGTAGAATAAATATTGAATAATAAATAAAATAATTCTTACGTTCACACCTGCCATTGTTTTGAGCATAATCAACACTACAGTCACAAACTTTTTCTCCATAAACATTATAGCGACATCCATTTGAACCGAATCCACAGTCACATTCTAAAACAAAATAAATTCATGTAAATTATTTTAATTTGTCAAATTATTGAAATTCATAAAAAAATGCAGTTTCATTGTCCTTAGCAAATGATCTTTATTTAAGTGTACCATATTAGAAATTGAATTATAATAACGCAGTGATTAAGGTACTAAGCAGTTATAATGAAGAGACAGAGTTCTTTCTCTGGGGGAGACCAAATAGCAGTCTATCTAGGAAGTAAATGAGGTTGGTGTGCAATGCAGCTAATACAGATAACGTTGCCACCACCATGCCGTTGGTCTCGAAAATGTGAAGCTTTTACCTCAAAGATCTTCTTTGTTGACAAATGCAGTGTTCATACTCGTGTGTGACTCGGAGCGTTGTGTCAATAATTGCGAGCAATCGTAGCGAGTTTCTGTTTATGATAATTTTTTACTTTACAACTGTTGCGGTTCAGGGGATAGAGTATTCGCCTCAAAATGAGATGACACAGGTTCAAATCCCAGCGTTGGCTGGTTGATACCAATTCCGCTCCGAGCTCGTACCTACCACAGTGCTGACGCAAAATATCTTCAATAGTTGACGGATTATGGGTTAGAATCCTCTTGCCGTTGGGCTAATTATGAGAGTTTCTCGTGGTTTTCATCTCCATGTAACGAAAATGTGTATTGGTTCCATCAGAAAGTTCTACACGAGGTCTAGTTTATCCCAATGCTTGATTCAGGAGTTCCCTTGTCTTCTGGGTTGGTACCAAAATTCCAAGGCTACGGAGTTGAACATTGCTAGTCGTAAACTCTAAATTATGACCACTGTTCATCGTAGGTTATAAAAGAAAAGAATTTCTTTTTACTCGAAATCACCTCTCTATTAATTTCACATCGTTTAATATTTTAATAGGTGTTCTTTTTTCAGCCTCTGTATAGTTTTGATTATAACTAACATTTGTAAAAAGTGATTAACATATACGAAGAGGCCATCAACCTCGATAGGCTTCCATCAGATTCGCTGCGCGGAAAGAATCAGAATGCCTATCTAACCACTGTTTAGTAAAAGGGTTAGGAGGTGCGCAATGGGATGCGTGATGAGGTGCGCAATGATGTGCGTGCGCATAAAGTGGGAAATATGCTTCCTGCTATATTGAAAATATAATACAGCTGAAAACAAACATTTTGTAATTGAGAACTTTTGGTTTTTAGGTGTAAAACAACGGGAAAACACCGATACACTCAGGCCATTTCGTACTCGATTGTAAACAATTTACTGACGAATCCCTAAGTATCCCGTAATCGGTGTTTTCGAAATTGAAAATATTTTAAGAATGGTGCGAATGCACCTGAGCTTGGTGTAAGAATTCTCATTAATTGGTATTTAGATTTAACTACACCCTATAAAGTGTATTTGAGAGGTCGATTTCACGTAACTGGAAATAATGTTTTTCTTCACTTTATTTTTTGGGTTGTTTAATACACAATTCGCATAGGCACTGCACCACAGTTTTTTCAAAGCTGATTTTTCGTTTCTTAATTACTTCAATTTGTATCTAAAATTCTCTAATGTTCGTATTATTTTGACTTTGTTCTCAACAAGGATTCTGAAAATATATATCAAAGGCGGTTATTATAGAATACCTCGTGGGAATCACAAGAAATTTACGTACTTACCCGGTTCATAAAAGCTATCATTTTTCAATCCAAGTAACAGTGCATTTTTGGAATCGTTTTTAGGTGCATACGATCCGTCTTCATTCTGTTCATCTAAAATATCAGTAACATTTTTAGCTTGAACATAAACTTGGTTAAAAAAGATTAACAGTCAAAAAGAGTGTGACAAATATGTAGCACACTACCATCTTCCAGATTTTCATTTTAAAAGCATAAATACAAATTGAATTCATTACTAAATTCATGCAAACAATCTATCTATCTATATTATATAAAACGCTTATACGTACGTATGTATCAATAAAACCGATGATATTTCTATTCTCGCGTTGACAACAGTTTACATTTTTAATTGTAGGCGTTTTGTACAAATATCTAAGCTTTTTTTTGTATTTATCCACATAATTAAGAAGTTGTGAACTCATTACATAAACACAATAGTATTTGTCTTCGATTCTCAACGAATTCTAACCGAATATGGGTGTGCCACATCTCCGATTTTCGCCGAGAAAAAAACGGTTGGTTGGTTTTGAGTTCTGAAATAGTTCCTTTTCATTGGCAGAAATGAGAAGTGTTATGCTATTGCTGCAATATTTTGAGTTGAGCTCTTTTTACTATTCCACGCTTTGTTAGATTATTAGATGTCGTTTTACTATTTCATGTTTTAAGTTAAATTTTATTAGAATTTTATTATGAATCTTAATAATCTGCGTACGATATGTAACAATCTACGAAGAAGAGAAAGCCGCTCTACTGAAACTCCAGAAGAGAATACAATTAGAAATACTACAGAACGAGTTTTGTGGTTGAATACTGACATTTAGAAATGTGTACATAAAAAAATAATATTTGGAGGTTAAGAGTTGCCTCAGAAAAATTTGAATTGTTGACATTTTATTTAACAACGGAAACAATTGAATTGTATTGTTGACATC